TATATGCATTCCACCGAATGGAAGCCTCATACGAAACACACCATCCGAACTCATCACGCATGAGATCATCCACCGGCTGTACTCAAATCAATAATTTACCGTGAACCCACCATAATCAGAACCACTGGGCCACTAGCCCGCCCTTCCAAGTTCGTGCTTACCAACCAGATATAAGAGCCCATCTCGTACCACAAATGAACAACTGAAAGATTTAATACTGCATCTGCTCCCAATACTAGACAACACATCGCGATGGTAATCAAGCATCCATAGCGCTTCGTAACCCATCTGTAGCATCACAAGCTGCCGGCGCATAACGAATACCACAACATCGCCTATGAACGAATAGGAAGAATCAAAATCGCAGGTTTCAAGCTGAAACAAGGCTGCACGATAGGGAAAGAAGAAAGGGAAATTTTTCTATATGCCATATAGCCTCTCGAAGATATGTATGGACGTCATCATACCGATCCGCAAGACTCTACCAAACACTTGCTCATGACTAGTAGAACCTATGAATCTAGTGCTCTGATACCAACTTGTCACAACCCAAAATCCACTGGTCGTGATGACACCTAACCCGACCCGCTAGGTTAGGCAATTAACAGTTAACACAATTTTAATAAAATAAATGTGGTAAATGATTGATATATCTGGATTCCAAACAATAACCCAAGGACTGGTAGTACAAGACATGAGATACTAAGATTGGATTATTGCGAAAACGGATAATGAAATAAATACAACTTTTGTTTGAAATGTACATAAATAGAATTCAAATCTAGAACTACCATAGGACAAGTGGTAGTCACATCCGGAAGGCACGAACATCTTCAGAGTCAGCCTCTGTCATCCACCGTAGCTCCGCTTTTAAATCTGCACGCAAGGTACAGAAGTGTAGTATGAGTACAACCGACCCCATGTACTCAGTAAGTATCTTGACTAACCTCGGTGAATTAGTGACGAGGATTTTTAGTTAAAAGATACTCACTGATATAGCCCGTACAGTAAACTAATAATAGAACAATACTACAACATAACAGATTAGAGTACACGAAACGAATATGCGATGAAATAAATGAGTACTAGAAGAAATCACAATTTAACATTTCCCAATATCTCGGCCAATCCTTTTCTTAGAGCGATAACCAGCAGACCACGATATTAAATCCATACTTTCATAACGTGAGAATTATATTCAAGTCAAATCAAATGGCACGGCAACACCCTTCGTGTATTTATCTCATCCTCAACAAATATATGCATAACAGTACCAAACAGGTGAAAGAAATACTGATAACCGTAATGATAAAGTAGAAAATACACAAGTAGCAATAATAAACAAGACAGTACTTATGGACAACGGTAATAGACTAGGTAGAAGGCATAGGAGTAATGACAACAATTAGGAAAGAAGAACATAAATTTCACCGAACTAACTTGGTAGAAGACCTAGATGTAGATATGACAAATAAGAGGAAAAGTATGATCTTCATGAGCTAACAAATAGAAGGCATGAATAGCTAACATGGTAGAAGGATTATATGAAAGTGCAACAAATGAGGAACCGCATGGATGTAGATATAACAACAAGAAGGAAAACATGATATTTACAAGTTAAACAGATAACAGGTATGGATAACACAACAACAATTGAGATAGAGGAGCAAGACAGAACAACAACAACAACAAGTCACATAGAAAACATATGTGCAACAATAACAGCTCAAGGTAAAGGCATGAAAGTATACACAAGGAAAAGATATCACAATATAATGCATGTCCCTCGTCCTCGTCTGCACGGAAATACCCTTCTTGCCATGAGCCCATGAGAATATAAATGAAATGGCACGACATCACCCTTCGTGTTTTTACTCTCATCCTCACATGATAATGCAAATAAAATATCACGGCATCACCCCACGTGCTTTTACTCTCATCCTCACTTGATAATGTAAATAAAATGGCACGACATCACCCTTCATGCTTTACACTCTTCCTCACATGATAATGTGTATGCAACGACACAACATCACCCGTCGTGTTTTACACTCTTCCTCACCAAGCATATGTATATCAATGACAAGAAAGGTAGGAAGCATGAATAACATCAAGGAGAGTGTTTAAGCAAATATTCCAATTGAACATCAATCACAACTTTCATGCCAATAACAATTCAATAAACCTCAAGTACTTTATTGTCCAAGTATTTCGACAAGCCTCTAAGATGATATTTAACTCAAGTATAGAATTCAATTTCTCAAGAATAACGTTCGTAGCAATGTATTCATGATTAAACAAAGTGATAACTAAATTTAACACATCAATGGTTTCACAAAATCCGTCAAATTTTTATCAAGTTATAATAAGCTAAATCTCGGTCTCTAACATTTAATTTCCTATTCATAGTAATCTAGAAATCAAGTAAGACATGAAACAAGGACGTCACATAGATTTACAAGGCACAATTAATCATGTAATTTATCCCCCCCCCCTCCCCCCCCCCCCCC